CCTCCCACGTCTCCCTCTCTCCCTCGCTCCCTCTCTCCCTCTCTTCTCTCTCTCTCTCCTCTCTCCCTCTCTCCTCTCTCCTCTCTCCTCTCCCTTCCTCTCTCTCTCTCTCTCTTCTCTCTCTCTCTCTCTCTCTCTCTCTCTCTCTCTCTCTCTCTCTCTTCTCTCTCTCTCTCTCTCTCTCTCTCTCTCTCTCTCTCTCTCTCTCTCTCTCTCTCTCTCTCTCTCTCTCTCTCTCTCTCTCTTCTTCCTACCTGTCTGTCTGTCTGTCTGTCTGTCTGTCTGTCTGTCTGTCTGTCTGTCTGTCTGTCTGTCTGTCTGATTGTCTGTCTGTCTCCCTCCTCCCCCTCCCCCCCCACACCCCCCCCCCCCTCCACAAACACACACCCAGGATATGATCATGACTATCATGCCTGTATATTACTAAAGCTTCAGTAAGATACAGTAAGATACAGATATGCTCTATCACTACCGTGGACACATACTTGTCAGAAGTGATGATTTCAGCTGCCTTGACCTGCACAATCTTAGACTTGCTGGGTTCAATGTATACATCCGGCTTCATCTACAACAGTTAATACATCACACACCCGCACACATACAGCCACACGCATACCGGCACACATGCAGCAGAATGTTGATTCACAACTGCGGCTCTAGGCATCGACAACATTGTAGTTCAGCCTGGAAGAAGCAGTATACCATCTCTTCCCTACCATCTGTGGTGACAGCACAGAGCATAGGCCATAGCATAGAGTAGTGTATGACTGGAAGAAGCGGCTAGGTAAGTCATGCATGGGCTATGTACATGTACTGGTTATCATTCTCAACATGGACGAGACCAGCAGGTTACCGGGCACCCCGATGGCCTTTCCCCGCAACACCTAAACAACAAGATAACTTGAATTTGACATGTCTAATGTGTGTATACTTGAGGAAACCCTTGCTTCAATGACCACCTGTGTGTGTATGTGTGTGTACTTACACGGCAGTGTATACCAGGACCAGGTGTGTGTGTGTGTGTGTATCGGGGGGGGGGGGGGGGGAGGGGCGATCAGACTACAGTCCATTCATCCAAAACCGGTACCCAAACATGTTGTTGTCTCCCATGTATAGTTGTAGATATCGTGAAAACAACAGCAACACAATCACAGCAATACATCACATTTACAACAACCAAGCAGTCGTGTATGGCACACCCTAGCTACGTATACACCAACACACAGCAGACAGGTCATACCTTGTTGCCTTGAAGCTGAAGCCATGGTGGTGGGCGAGCATCATTGAAATCTTTCCAGTACGACTTCAGTTGCATGTTCAAATCAAACAGTTCTTTGTGAGAGTAGCCTGAACCAACCTAATACTCAAACATCAGCATCACAGCAACAAACACCATGGCAACGAGTATCATAGCAACAAACACCATGGCAGCGAGTATCATAGCAACAGTCACTACGACAGCAGGCAAGAAACCAACAAGCATGATGGAGTTGAGCTTCTAGCTACACAATTAACATCAGTAGGTCAGCACTATGCCAAGGCTACAGTATTAACATCAGTAGGTCAGCACTATGCCGAGGCTACAGTATTAACATCAGTAGGTCAGCACTATGTCGAGGTTACAGTACCAGCCTATACCCTGGACGATTTCCGGCAACATTCCAATGTCGAGTATCGCGTTTGAAGTTTTGTTGGTGGAGGTATGCAACAGCGACAAAGCCCACAGTGGCCGATTCGCATTTTCATTCTGCTCGGAAGAGGTCATTTCACTTTTTCTTTGGGATCGCCGGAATCGACTCTGCCCCATTCATCCTGCGACCGGCATCGGAATTGCACCAACCAAATGCTGTCGAGTGCATCAAACAAATGCTGCCGCGTGTATCAAACAAACGCTGCCGCGTGTATCAAATAAACGTCCCGGAACCCAAACACGGTGGAATGACTTTGGAATGGTGTCGGAATGACACCTAACAAACACAACAAAACATTAGTGCCAAAGTGGTTAGCCTACTAGCACCCTGGTCTACCTATGTCAGAAGCAGAGTAGCTACAGGAGTTGTAGTGTTAACCTTCTTATCAAAATCAATTCAAGTCAAGTAGCACCCCTGATAATGAACTTGGAATCTGGCCATTCCCAAGCTTCGCAATTTCCCCAATCGTGTACACCTGACCCTTTCATGCAGACCCACACCCCGGTAGTACAGTCTTTGTCAGTACACTGACTGGGACCCACACCCCGGTACAGTCTTTGTCAGTACACTGACTGGGACCCACACCCCGGTACAGTCTTTGTCAGTACACTGACTGGGACCCACACCCCGGTACAGTCTTTGTCAGTACACTGACTGGGACCCACACCCCGGTAGTACAGTCTTTGTCAGTACACTGACTGGGACCCACACCCCGATACAGTCTTTGTACAGTACACTGACTGGGACCCACACCCCGGTACAGTCTTATCAGTTGGGATCTTAGTCACTTTGTCTGTTTCCACATGAAGATCATGTACTTATCCTATCAGCACGTCTCCAGCATACCTTGCAGAACGACTGGAAGACTGTCGGGTGTCCAGACGAGCAAGGCTCGGCCACCGCAAGAAGAAAATGAGATGGGCCTCCACCGCCACCTCTCCGCTGAAACAAACAACCAGTGATGCACAAGGGAAAACAGCAGACAACACATCGCAGGTGGCAATAAAGACATCAGCAGTAGTGCATGTTCACATATTATTACTTCAAAGTAGGAAGCTTGGATCCTTAGAAAAATCAGGAAAATAACACGTATCGTTGGGCGTTCCGTCAAGTTCACACAGGAATACATTGGAGGTATACTCCTTGAAGACATGGGAAGGAATCAGGAATTGATAGCAAAGCTGATCTTCCATCTCCTACACTATAGTCCACTCACATGACCCACCATGTTACAATAGTTCAGTTGTCTGAGGATTGCCTTAGCTTTGCTATGTGCATGAAACGCAGCGATACAGCAATGATCTAGCCGGTTGTCTCTGTTCTCTTCTGCCTTTGCGATCCACCATTTAGAAATTTACGAGTGCATGTAAAACTGTCTCTAGTCTATGAATATGGTCCCAAATTCAACACTGTGCCTACTTGTTCACACCTAGCAATACACACTGTGCCTACTTGTTCACACCTAGCAATACACACTGTGCCTACTTGTCCACACCTAGCCATACACACTGTGCCTACTTGTCCACACCTAGCAATCCACACTGTGCCTACTTGTCCACACCTAGCCATACACACTGTGCCTACTTGTCCACACCTAGCCATACACACTGTGCCTACTTGTCCACACCTAGCAATCCACACTGTGCCTACTTGTCCACACCTAGCAATACACACTGTGCCTACTTGTCTACACCTAGCAATACACACTGTGCCTACTTGTCCACACCTAGCAATACACACTGTGCCTACTTGTCCACACCTAGCAATCCACACTGTGCCTACTTGTCCACACCTAGCAATACACACTGTGCCTACTTGTCTACACCTAGCAATACACACTGTGCCTACTTGTCCACACCTAGCAATACACACTGTGCCTACTTGTCCACACCTAGCAATACACACTGTGCCTACTTGTCCACACCTAGCAATACACACTGTGCCTACTTGTCCACACCTAGCAATACACACTGTGCCTACTTGTCCACACCTAGCAATCCACACTGTGCCTACTTGTCCACACCTAGCAATACACACTGTGCCTACTTGTCTACACCTAGCAATACACACTGTGCCTACTTGTCCACACCTAGCCATACACACTGTGCCTACTTGTCCACACCTAGCAATCCACACTGTGCCTACTTGTCCACACCTAGCCATACACACTGTGCCTACTTGTCCACACCTAGCCATACACACTGTGCCTACTTGTCCACACCTAGCAATCCACACTGTGCCTACTTGTCCACACCTAGCCATACACACTGTGCCTACTTGTCCACACCTAGCAATACACACTGTGCCTACTTGTCCACACCTAGCAATCCACACTGTGCCTACTTGTCCACACCTAGCCATACACACTGTGCCTACTTGTCCACACCTAGCCATACACACTGTGCCTACTTGTCCACACCTAGCAATCCACACTGTGCCTACTTGTCCACACCTAGCAATACACACTGTGCCTACTTGTCCACACCTAGCAATACACACTGTGCCTACTTGTCCACACCTAGCAATACACACTGTGCCTACTTGTCCACACCTAGCAATACACACTGTGCCTACTTGTCTACACCTAGCAATACACACTGTGCCTACTTGTCCACACCTAGCAATACACACTGTGCCTACTTGTCCACACCTAGCAATCCACACTGTGCCTACTTGTCCACACCTAGCAATACACACTGTGCCTACTTGTCTACACCTAGCAATACACACTGTGCCTACTTGTCCACACCTAGCAATACACACTGTGCCTACTTGTCCACACCTAGCAATACACACTGTGCCTACTTGTCCACACCTAGCAATCCACACTGTGCCTACTTGTCCACACCTAGCAATACACACTGTGCCTACTTGTCTACACCTAGCAATACACACTGTGCCTACTTGTCCACACCTAGCCATACACACTGTGCCTACTTGTCCACACCTAGCAATCCACACTGTGCCTACTTGTCCACACCTAGCAATTCATTATTATATTACTACTTACTCCTTTCCCAAAGAATCCTCCCACAATCACAAGATCTAGCTGTGCATGACAACACGTGAATCATTGAAAAGCAGAACAAACACACGTATGCGCAGGCGTGCATGCACACACAGAGAAAGATCAGAGATGGAGCGCAATATAAGTTACAACATACGATATAACAAATAAACCAAGGGCGAGTTATATGTAAATGGAGCATGCAGCCAGATAGAGGTCACGCTACATGGGCGGTGGCGTAGTTTCGGATCTTTTCACTTCGGAAGTATGTTAGCGTCCTCGGAAGACATAATTATACTATACACAAGAAAAGTGGTGTAAACAGGGCGATTGACGCCATCTCGTGGAAACGACACACACTTGGGCTCCTGACTGTGTATGTCCTATGGTCTCGTCCTCCATATTCTAATAACGGTGGGCTGTGAGCAGTGACACAGCATGTATCTAAGTACTTGGCTGGATGTATGGCAATAGAAGAAATTGGGGTACCTGTTTGGTGCTGTGCACCCTCACTGGATGTCAACACCCACTGTAAAATCCTCAACACAACAAGAACTAATCACTGCAACCAGCAGTATTCGCTGCATACGTTGACTGCTCTGGCCATGCCATGGTATTCACACAAGGATCTACAGTGCTAGCAACTGAAATCCGACACCCTGGCCTGAGCGGTGGGTTCACATTCTAGCGGTCTCTGTTTCGTAGTTTTACCATCCCGTGTTGGGTATTTGCGATGTGAGCGCACCGCTCGGGGGATCGGATTTCAGTTGCCAGCACTGTAGTTCAGCTTTCTACCACGCACTCACAATGATAATAAATGCCAGGGACATCGAGCAGCCGCTCGACCGACCCCATCTCAGGCGAATCGACTCTCTCGGGGCTCATCTTGAGTAAGGCAGCATGGTCGTGACTCGCATACAACACATTGCTCATGACCGCATTCGTATCAACCAGAGCTGCGCAACAGCAGAATAAAGTGCTTTGCCGCGATCATGTCGTAATGCCACTGACACTAGCCAATGCCAGTCAGGTTGGGACAATTTGCAGCTTGCTTGTAAATCTCCATCAGCTACTAAGGCGTCACTAGAGGGATTCTAGTCAGATGATGGACAATACCAGTACATGCCCTATATCATTTAGACTGTCTATATACAGTCAGGTGATGGACAATACTGGCACATACTCTTAGACTGTGACTGAGTGTCTACATACAGTCAGGTCATTGACAATATTGGCACATACTCTTAGACTGTGACTGACTGTCTACATACAGTCAGGTCATTGACCATACTAGTACATACCTGATCACTTAGACTGTCTACATACTCGGGCTTGATTTTGAACCAGCCACTACCTGCATAGAATGATACCCACGCACACAAGTGTCCACAAACACACACGTGCACATGCACACACACACAAAGTCACAAACAAAAACACACACTTACATACACACACACAAACACACACAATTTGACTCACACGCGGCCAGTCCTCTATAGCATATAGAGAGTTGGACACAGGGGCTTTGATAGGCAGCTACCACTTAAATTGCCTTCCAAATTTCATTTCATATTTGGGAGACCCTGGGAGTGTGTTCGACTCACAGCAACTTACGTGGAGACCCTGGGGGGGGGGGGGGGGGGTGTTCAGCCCACAGGAATTAGATGAGTGAGTAGGAGTGGAGAGTCGCTCAGTGCAAGGCGTGCATGCCTAAGGGTCTTGGTCTCTTGGATAGTGGGCTAGCTGGGTGTCACTGATCCACTGTAGAACTAACTACCTCTGCATACATGTACATACAGTAGCTTGTCACAGTATCTTGACTTCTGCCATTGATCCCATTATTCCATTATTCCATTATTCGCTGACCTAATCTGTCCTCAGTTGATATCTACCATGTATGGGTGTGTATACCGTGTAGGGGGCAACATCATGTTTCCAACTTTAAACCTGTACTGTGTGGAAGTAGAGTGAAAAGAAAACCCTGGCTTCAAAGTTAACCACTTGCGCTCAGCCATTGGCGTAGACATTCTTACACAGAACATACAGTGTAACATGGCCACCTCACTAGTACTAGTACATTGTATGTGTGTTGTCCGCCACTGACCATTGCGCTTGTCTGGCTTGTAGATAGACTCTGGATCTTTGACCATCAGACCTTCTTCCAGCTGATCAATAGCATCATTCAGAGCACTTGTCAGCTCCTCTCTGAGCCGCAGTGTACATGTACATGTAGAGAGAGATATAAGCAATGCATCACACATGCACACAAGCATGCACACACGCACACGCACACACGCACACACGCGCACACACACACACACACACACCACACACACACACACACACACACACGCACAGCACGTACACACACCTCAGACCTCAGACGTGCCCATCGCGGAAGCGATGATAGCGAACAGCTATGTTAGACATAGCAACTTGTGCTGGGATTACACCATTCGACAGCTTGCAAGGCTGGTGAATTGACCGCCACTATTTTTAGCCTGGTATCCACCACACAGCTGTTTGAAGTGACTTTTTCTGGCCAGTGAAGGCCTATTTTTCATTTTCCTTTTTTTTCTTTTTTTTTCTACACACACCACATACTCCGGAATACACTGGCTGTTGGTAACCACCCGGGAGAATGAAAGAAAAGTCAGGAAGAGTCCGAGAAAGAGAAGAAAGACAGACGTATGCGACCATAATCGTCGGGAATTGAACCCGCAACCTCTTGATTGGAAATCGACTGCACATACCACTGCACCATATGGGACACTCACATACACACACACACACACACACACACACACACACACACACACACACACACACACACACACACACACACACACACACACACACACACATACACACACACACACACGCACGCACACACACACACGCACGCACGCACACACACACACACACACACACACGCAGGTAAGAAGCTACTAACAGAAGTACACCAAACTATTAGTGTAGTATCACTTCAGTGAAACATGCTGAAACCGCTCATTCACAACTCAATCATGACACACGGATCAGAGTTCCAGACTGTGATCAACACAACACTACACTGCACTGCACCGCACGACACCACACCGCACGACACCACACCACACCACACCTACACAACACTACACTGCACTGCACCGCACCACACCACACCACACCACACCACACTACATTTCACTGCACTACACCACACCACACCACACCACCCCACACCACACCACACCACACCACACCACACCACACCACACCACACTACACTACACTACACCACACTACATTGCACTGCACCAACACTACACTACACCACACTACACTACACTGCACTACACTCCACAGCGCTGCACTGCACTGCACTACGCCTTACTTTGTACTCATTAGCTTCTGTTCAGAGATCTGCAGTCGTCCTGCCACTGGTGCAAACACTCTAATCAAAGCAACACAGAGAACAAACAACGGCGTTCTATAGAAACAATTGAATGAGAGAACAGAGCAGGTACCGAACACAGTACAGCTCTGCGATGTTGCACCAACTAAGTCTCGTTCGTACGAAAACACAGAAAAAATTGTCCGTTCCAAGTGCCACTTTCGCTTGAAAGGAGCACTTACCCATTTTCTCCAAGTGTCAGTGTCACAGGAAACACAACAAAAGTGCAGGTCTGTGGCACCGACTTTGGGCGTGGGCGGGCATGGAAGGGGGGGGGGGGGGGGGTGCGGGGTCCTTCCCCAGGGAAAAAAAACTTTCAAAAATTGAAGCCAATTGCAAGCATTTCAGGGCATTTGCGAACAACTTTCGGTGCCATTTCAGTGTAACTACAATGAAAGACTTTTCGATTCTGCAATAAACCCAGAAGACGCTACGATCGGGGACAAGGAATCTTTATTATTCGCCACGTTAGAGCTAAGCTGCAATCATTGCGCCTTGTTGCAGTGTACTCAAAAAAAGAAAACAAAAATTGGCCACAAAAGTGGGGAGGCCTCAGCTGTGATGGCCTTGAAGTGATAGGTAGAAGCCCGAGGCGACCAGAAGCCGTTTTCAATGTTCGACAGGTGCGAAGGAAAGTATTTGTTTAAGGCGGTTTTGGGCAGCTAAGGCCGCGATCACACACAATAACGGCGGATGTGGAAGTCCCGCTCTGGCGGCTCCGCCAAGTACATGTGTGGCCGCGGTCTGAAATGTCATTTTTGAACAACAAAAAAAGTCTTTCAAGTCTTTTCAAGGCCTTTTAGGGCTTTTTTTAAAAAATCAAGCACTTTTCAAGGGCCTGTAATAATCAATACGACTGTCCTGAGGTGACATCTCAGTGTGATGTGTGTTGTTGTTCCTTGCTGTGTGCTGTTGTTCCTTGCTGTGTGCTGTTGTTCCTTGCTGTGTGCATTGTGGACATTCTCATGCATGTTCACTTGTCTGCTTGTATGTGTCATGAATGATCACTAGTTCATTACCTCCTAGCATGACGTTATTGCGCGCCAAATATGGTTTACCGTGCGCGCGCTCGCGCGCACGCCAATGATGTTGACAATGCTAAGCTTGCATGCGTGACAAGTGGTTCTAGTAGTTGCAGTTGGGAGAGACATGAGGTTCTTGATGGTTTGATCGAGGTGTTGCCGGTTGGCGGTGTTTTGCTCTTTACTCTAAGGCTTTATCGTAACTATTCATTACAACCCAGAGCTGTGTGTGTTGGCTGGTCTGCCACGAGGTTGTGTGCGGGGGTAGTTGAGAGAGAGAGAGAGTGTGTGACTATTACAGCTTGTGGTGCCGAAACCCGGGACCCTTTGCGTGTAAAGCAAATGTGATAACCACTAGACAAAGGAACCTCGAAGTTGCCCGTGGAAGGTGAGGTGGTGGTTCCAGTTGTTTCACAGGATCTGGAGCCAGTCCTGCTCAGTTCGGTTCATGGGCTCAGCGGCCATGGCAACTCCAGTACCATGCATGCCATGCTGCGTAGCCGCTGTTTCTTTATCTCCATGGCTGACAAGTGCCGCCAGTATTGTCGTGACTGTCCTCAATGCTGTGATGCTAGTCATCGTGCTGGTGCGTCAAATGCTTCTACCCGTCGCGACATTCCTGGGAGGCCCTGGAGCGTGGTGCATCTCGACACTCTGGAACTTGGGCCGGAGAAGAGTGGCCGCTTCCATTGTATGTTGGTGTGTGTTGATGACTTCACAAAATGGGCCGAAGTTGTACCGTTGCGACGCCATGATGCCCAATCCGTGGCCGACGCATTCTTGGCGATATGTTGTCGCTGGGGTCCTCCGGATGTCGTACGCGTCGACAATGGCACCGAATTTCAGAATGCTGTGGTCACCGCCCTGTGGAGTCAGTTCCACGTGATAGTCAAGACTGGTGCGGTACGCCACCCACAGTCACAGGGTGCCGTGGAGCGGATGAACCGCACACTGCTTACGATGATGCAGAAGGTCCTGGACACTGGCGACGACTGGCGGTCGGAGCTCGACCTTCTCCTGTACTATTACAGCAATATACCCCATTCAACCACCAGGCTGACACCGATGATGGCGATGACAGCCTGGCAACCACGTGACCTAATTGTGGCAAAGGACCAACCTGCCTGCAAGATGAGCCAGTGGGTCAGTCGGCTCGGTGACAGCACTGCTCGCATCCGTGACCTTATCGAGATGGAGCTATCTGTCCACGATGGTGTTGATGATGAGCACGATCAGCCTCAGCTCTACCACCCAGATGATGCCGTCATGCTTCGTCGTCCCGACCGCAGCCAGAAGTTGTTGTCTCCGTATGAGCCTGGCTGGGTGATCAAGAAAGTTATCAGCCCTTCTACGGTGGTCATTGCATCTGGGCAAAGGGAGAAAGTCGTCAATGTGGACCATATCAAGCCAGCTCCTCGGATCGCTGTAGGTGAAGCACTGGAGGAGCTCGATGTGGCAGATGACTCCGCTCGCCACCAATACACTTTCCGTGACCGTGGGCGACTGGTCATGCCATCCCGTTATGCTGACTAAAATGTCACCTGGCGGAGGGGTGTAATAATCAATATGACTGTCCTGAGGTGACATCTCAGTGTGCTCTGTGCCGTTGTTCCTTGCTGTGTGCTGTTGTTCCTCGTTGTGTGCATTGTGGACATTCTCATGATGTTCACTTGTCTGCTTGTATGTGTCATGAATGATCATTAGTTCATTACCTCCTAGCATGACGTTATTGCGCGCCAAATATGGTTTACCGTGCGCGCGCTCGCGCGCACGCCAATGATGTTGACAATGCTCAGCTTGCATGCGTGACAAGTGGTTCTAGTAGTTGCAGTTGGGAAAGACATGAGGTTCTTGATGGTTTGATCGAGGTGTTGCCGGTTGGCGGTGTTTTGCTCTTTACTCTAAGGCTTTATCGTAACTATTCATTACAACCCAGAGCCGTGTGTGTTGGCTGGTCTGCCACGAGGTTGTGTGCGGGGGTCATTACAACCCAGAGCCGTGTGTGTTGGCTGGTCTGCCACGAGGTTGTGTGCGGGGGTAGTTGAGAGAGAGAGAGAGAGAAAGAGAGAGAGAGAGAGAGAGAGAGAGTGTGTGTGTGTGACTATTACAGGCCTTGAAGGATTTTTCAAGCACTTTCAAGCACTTTCAAGGCTCTGCACAAACCATGCGTCTCATATATAGAGCTGAATGACCACTCACTTCGGCAACTGCTTCGTCCGCTCACTGAACGGGATGCCCGTGAGACTTTTCCCATTCAAGTAGACGACATCATAAACCACAAAACACTGTTGGGCACCTAAACAACAAGAACAAGAATGACGATGACGATGACGACGACGACAACAAAAACAACAACAACATCCACTCATCAACCACTTGTGGTTGTGATGGTCGATATCCTTGCAACTCTCTCTCTCTCTCTCTCTCCTTCCCTCCCTCCCTCCCTGAGAGAGAGAGAGAGAGAGAGAAAGAGAGAGAGACAGAGAGAGAGAGAGAGAGAGAGAGAGAGAGAGAGAGAGAGAGAGAGAGAGAGAGAGAGAGAGAGAGAGAGAGAGAGAGAGAGAGAGAGAGAGAGAGAGAGAGAGAGAGAGAGAGAGAGAGAGAGAGAGAGAGAGAGAGAGAGAGAGAGAGAGGTCCTTACCATCGGGGGCTGCTGAGCCACCTCCGCCTTGAGCAAAGCCAACATTCTTGACATCAACATTGCGCCCTTTGGATCTGACCAATGTAACAAAAATGCACACACACACTCAGACTCAGACATGCCCATCGCTGAAGCGATGATAGCGAACAGCTATGTTAGACATAGCAACTTGTGCTGGGATTGCACCATTCAACAGCTTGCAAGGCTGATGAATTGACCGCCACTAATTTAGTCTGGTATCCACCAGACAGCTGATTGAAGTGACTTTTTCTGGCCAGCGAATCCCTATTTTTTCCTTTTCCTTTTTTTCTTTCTATTTTTCGACACACACACCACACCACATACTCCGGCATACACTGGCTGTTGGTAACCACCCAGGAGAATGAAAGAAGAGCTAGGAGAATGAGAAAGAGAAGAGAGACGTGTGCGACCATAATCGTCGGGAATCGCAACCTCTCGATTGGAAATCGACTGCACATACCACTGCACCATATGGGACACACACACACACACACACACACACACACACACACACACACACACACACATGCACACACACACACGCACACAACAAAGACAAGCCCTAAGACCTGAATTCATACTCGCAGTTTCAGCAGGAAGCAGTGGATAAGCAACGAGAGGGCTTGAAAGCCCAGGAATCCTCGCTATGGTTTGTTTTTACCTAAGCCGTCATGTGTCAAAACTCCCAGACAGGCACATTCGATCAAGCTAGTTATTCATTTATATTACGCTACGCTGCTAGCTTAATTTTCCTTTTCCCTTTTTTTAACACATAGCATGGGATTCGAACCCGCACTATCGCCCTGCATGCATTCCCTCGATACACTTTGCAAACACACACATTCTTCCAAGTTGCTTCACGTTATGATGCTGCGGTTGAACGCCCTATTTGAATATGGTGGCCAGCAGTCTTTGATGGTACGATACGGGACATATACGGGATAGCGCCAGGCATGCCCGACGCCAGAAACAAACAAACAAACACAAACACAAACACACACACACACACCGAGATACAGAACAAAGTGGTGACTGTGGACCCTGGCTAGCGCCAGACGCTACTGAAGTAACGTCTTTTGCATAACTTTGGGAATACACCATGTCATTATTACCACGTGCATGCACTACCTGCACGACCCACACAATATGACAAAATCAGCGTACCAGGATGGCATGTGTAGCTGGCCAGCCACAATTCCTAATTTAGGGCCGTGGTCATACCAATGCAATTCAGCCGTTTGGACGCAGAAGAGCTCGCGTCTCCATGAAAATGACTGAATCTCAGTAACTTTCATGCACTTTTCATAGGTTACAAATAGTGCCTAGCACCGTTCCTACTTTCGTTTCCAGAATTTCGACAGTAAAGTACAATTTACTGACTTCTACTTCAAGATGCACTCGTATCAAAAGAGGATCAATCCTGGCCGAGGCCCTCGCATGACAGAAGGCACAGCAACACTGCAAGCGGGACGCAGTGATCAAAGGTCTGACCAAGACCACCCACTGCGCACCAGTGACTTGTGATCAACACAGACTCAACGCCCCTGACTTACATGAATACTTACATGAAACATTCTCTCTGGGGATGATAGGCCACCATCTCACCATCCAGTATGCATGACCTCACTCCAGACGAGAAACAACCGTGTATGTGCGGCGTGAAAGAGCCTTCAGTGGAACTGGCACCAAAGTTTGCCGAGTAATCCTGCAAACAGGGCATGCAAAAACAACCACTGCCTGAACTTGAGAGACAACTTGAAGAAATAAAAATGATGTACTAAATATAGGTCTAAAGAACTCAAGAAGAGATTACAAGCAACACATGAGTCTAAGCCCAAGCCAACTCCACAACAACTAAGCCCAAGCCAGGGGCGTCGGAAGGTAATTTAGTGCGGTACGGTCAGCCATCTGAAGTACAATTTACTCGTGGGGAGGGGTGGCTGAGCCGAAAAATTTGGAAAATTAGAGCCCAAATCAGTGCATTTTACTGATTCACGGGGTACTTGGGGCAAATAGTGGTACGGTCAATACCGTAGTGACCGTACCGTGTGCTACGCCCCTGCAAGCAAACTGCACAACAACTAAGCCCAAGCCAACTCAAGCCCAAGCAAACTGCACAGCAAGCAGTGCCCGTTTGTTCAGTATATCATCCTATACAGTGATGATGTCATCACCTATACAGTGATAATGTCATCACCTATACAGTGATGATGTCATCACCTATACAGTGATGATGTCATCACCTATACAGTGATGATGGCATCACCTATACAGTGATGATGGCATCACCTATACAGTGATGACGTCATTGCATAACGGCTATACAGTGATGATGCTAATACTTGTATACAGTGATGATGTCCTCACTCTTCACCTATAGTGATATTGTCACTAGTAATACATGTACGGCAATGGCGTCATTACCAATCCAGTGAAGATACCATTACCTACGGAGTCATGACCCATGATGTCATCACATATAAAGTGATATCATCACCTACACAGTGATGATGTCATACCTTTGCATTTCGTGAGAAGTATGCATACACATCACCATCCTTGTGTAGTTGAATACGATCACCATCATACTTTGTCTCCACAACAAACGGCTTGTTTCCCATCAACTTGGGCACCTGAAAAGAAAGCAATAACCATGCACAGAGATACGAAACAGACATAGAATTACCTTTGCATGTAGAATCCTGTGTAGTATGGGGTTACTTCTTATCTACTATTTGATAATATCATTATCATCATGATCATCACCGTCAACACTTTGTGTCTTGAATGTTGAAAATTAGCATCGCGCTCGCACACACACACACATGTTTGCAATAGAGAGGCACAGCAGAGATTGGCATGAGTAGGAGTGCAGCTTTCCAGAAAGTAACAATTATCATCTAGTGACTGACCTGGGTCATCTGTGGTCTGCTGGCTAACATTGGTTTGAACGCAGAGAACAGGGAGACATCAGTGCCTTCTAGACGAGTGGACAGATCATGAAGGTCTTCACAAACCTGCAACCCAAGAGTAAAGTAAAAAAAGAGAGTGAATTATCGTGTCCGTTCCCGAAGGGAACTCACAACGGCCGCTAAACATCCGGTAAACCCTGATGCAGATGCAGCGCCTACCCCCCCCCCCCCCCCCCCCAACACAAGACTACCAGCAGAAAAATCAAATAAGCATGGATAACAAAGTAAGATAAGAAAATAAAAACTTTTCTAAGGATTCGAAAATACCCGATTTTAACCACATACACACTAGCTACTCTGCACACATAACGGGTGTACAAACATTACTAGTAGCATCAACACTCTCTCAACATTCAGAGAGTTTGAGAGAGTTTTGTAGGTGTTCAGATGAGGTAAAACTTATTTTTAAAAATATGACACAAACATTACCATACAAAAAAAACACAGGACAAAGGTCAAGATAAGAACCCAGTAGGCTGATCCACCACAGACATGCTACCCTGAACCACCACAGACATGCTAACCTGATCCACCACAGACATGCTAACCTGAACCACCACAGACATGCTACCCTGAACCACCACAGACATGCTAACCTGATCCACCACAGACATGCTAACCTGATCCACCACAGACATGCTAACCTGATCCACCACAGACATGCTAACCTGATCCACCACAGACATGCTAACCTGATCCACCACAGACATGCTACCCTGAACCACCACAGACATGCTAACCTGAACCACCACAGACATGCTACCCTGAACCACCACAGACATGCTAACCTGAACCACCACAGACATGCTAACCTGATCCACCACAGACATGCTAACCTGATCCACCACAGACATGCTAACCTGATCCACCACAGACAAGCTAACCTGATCCACCACAGACATGCTAACCTGATCCACCACAGACATGCTAACCTGATCCACCACAGACATGCTAACCTGATCCACCACAGACATGCTAACCTGATCCACCACAGACATGCTAACCTGATCCACCACAGACATGCTAACCTGATCCACCACAGACATGCTAACCTGATCCACCACAGACATGCTAACCTGATCCACCACAGACATGCTAACCTGATCCACCACAGACATGCTAACCTGATCCACCACAGACATGCTAACCTGATCCACCACAGACATGCTAACCTGATCCACCACAGACATGCTACCCTGAACCACCACAGACATGCTAACCTGAACCACCACAGACATGCTACCCTGAACCACCACAGACATGCTAACCTGAACCACCACAGACATGCTAACCTGATCCACCACAGACATGCTAACCTGATCCACCACAGACATGCTAACCTGATCCACCACAGACAAGCTAACCTGATCCACCACAGACATGCTAACCTGATCCACCACAGACATGCTAACCTGATCCACCACAGACATGCTAACCTGATCCACCACAGACATGCTAACCTGATCCACCACAGACATGCTAACCTGATCCACCACAGACATGCTAACCTGATCCACCACAGACATGCTAACCTGATCCACCACAGACATGCTAACCTGATCCACCACAGACATGCTAACCTGATCCACCACAGACATGCTAACCTGATCCACCACAGACATGCTAACCTGATCCACCACAGACATGCTAACCTGATCCACCACAGACATGCTAACCTGATCCACCACAGACATGCTAACCTGATCCACCACAGACATGCTAACCTGATCCACCACAGACATGCTAACCTGATCCACCACAGACATGCTAACCTGATCCACCACAGACATGCTAACCTGATCCACCACAGACATGCTAACCTGATCCACCACAGACATGCTAACCTGATCCACCACAGACATGCTAACCTGATCCACCACAGACATGCTAACCTGATCCACCACAGACATGCTAACCTGATCCACCACAGACATGCTAACCTGATCCACCACAGACATGCTAACCTGATCCACCACAGACATGCTAACCTGATCCACCACAGACATGCTAACCTGATCCACCACAGACATGCTAACCTGATCCACCACAGACATGCTAACCTGATCCACCACAGACATGCTAACCTGATCCACCACAGACATGCTAACCTGATCCACCACAGACATGCTAACCTGATCCACCACAGACATGCTAACCTGATCCACCACAGACATGCTAACCTGATCCACCACAGACATGCTAACCTGATCCACCACAGACATGCTAACCTGATCCACCACAGACATGCTAACCTGATCCACCATAGACATGCTAAAACTGACCTTCTTCAAGTTGTTACAGACATTGTACAGTTCTTCAGCATCAGGATGAAACACTTTGAACGCGGACGTTTCGCTCAGGCCAAGCTTCAGCTCCTGGCAACCATTAACAAACAAACAAACAAACACACACACAGTCACATACACACACACACACAAACACAAACACACACATACACACAACCGAAATGGAAACGCAGCACTGCTTTTGACTCATTCGCGGGCTAGATACCCACACGTATAGTTACTGCACTGAATCTATACTGCATAGGAGTAGTTACTGCACTGAATCTATACAGCATAGGAGATGTGCAGACAATAGCCAAACATAATGATGTACAGGTACGCACATGTTGCCAGGAAGCTGCAGACAGTACACAGACTAAACGGATGAGAACTTACTTTCAAGATTATACGAATGAGCCATTTCTGGACACAAATCAGACAAATAAACGAGACAACAGCAAAAAGACAAGAGATTACTGAAGTGTTGGTGCCGCATTGCACGTAATAGAGAGGTTTTGCAGAGCAAACGTTCGCAATGATTTTCGCGTTCCGGGTTGCGAAAACTATTGCGAACGTTCGCGCGAAATTTGTGTTTTGCATGATTTTCGCTCCAAGATAAGACGAAGACCTCTCTAAGGTCACCGGTATGTATGGACTAGTACTACGCACAAGAAATATTTTTCTCAAACTCTCAACCTCGATTTTGAAACAGCTCATCGGTCTCTCCACTGCAGTCTCTCATTTCACGACCATGATCATGACCATTACCATGACAACGACGACCACGACGACGACCATCACCACGGTCAGACCAAACAGTCACAACATAAGAATGAGAGATAAGAGTGTGGTGCGCAATGGTTGCATGATCAAGGTCTACAACTGTACGCCATCTCAGGAAGAGCTTACGGAAAGTGTAGGACGGTCATTTATTAAACCTTGCGACATGCTTGGTCTCTGGCGTTTGTAATGAAAAAAGAAGAGGCTGCTTCAATATGGCCATACCTGCTGCAAGGCAGTGGTCTTGCGCAACATCTGCTGTAGTGCTTGTTTGACTGCCGCCTTGTCTTTGGTTGTGCTGCCGTTGGCAATGTCATCCAAATACCGGTTGACATCAGCTAAAGACAGACTGACAGTGTGGATAATGATAGCAGCAGTGAAAAGCAATGCACCAGGTATGTAGTGAAGGTAAAACAAGCATAAATGCAACTGAACAAAAGTGAACGTGAACAAAAAGACAATATCACAAAACCTATTGATGGATATAACAACTTTAGTGACAACAGGGTCAGAGTTGTAAACAACATGACGAAGAAAGAAAAGAAGAGCATTTCTGCAGTGTCATTCCTTGGCTGAGATACTACGCTTTCATGTTTACAGCTATGAGAGAGCGTGCATGTAATGTCATGTAACCATATGACCAATGCATCGTGTGACCAATGCATCATGTGACCAATGCATCATATGACCAATGCATCATGTGACCAATGCATCATGTGACCAATGCATCACATGACCAATGCATCATGTGACCAAAGGATTATGTGACCAATGCATCGTGTGACCAGTGCATCATGTGACCAATGCATCGTGTGACCAGTGCATCATGTGACCAATGCATCCCATGACCAATGCATCACATGACCAATGCATCGTGTGACCAGTGCATCATATGACCAATGCATCGTGTGACCAGTGCATCATGTGACCAATGCATCATGTGACCAATGCATCATGTGACCAATGCATCGTGTGACCAGTGCATCATGCGACCAATGCATCACATGACCAATGCATCGTGTGACCAGTGCATCATGTGACCAATGCATCGTGTGACCAGTGCATCATGTGACCAATGCATCACATGACCAATGCATCATGTGACCAAGGGATTATGTGACTAAAGGATCATGTGCTGATGATAACAGCTGATCTCACCTTCCCTTGGCTTCACACCGATACTGTAGTACAAAGAATGCCACACTGGCAAAGTCACCGGCATTCTAAAACGCAAAACGGAAGAAAAAGGAAGAAGAAAAAGTCATGAGATCTGGGCAGGTAGAAAGATCACAATCAATGTAAAACAATTTGAAACCACGCTTGATGTAATAGTTCATGCTTCGTGTATCTTGGTTCAAGAGTAGCAGTGCCCTTGACATACCCATACACGTTGAAGAAAGCTGCGTTTGCACTTTTCCCAATCAACAATTCGGAGCAAACTGGGCACATACATTGTAGCTGTGGGGTAAATGTTGATTTCTTTGGAGCCTGCTCTGTTGAGCCGTGCTCATCCTTCCTCCCCATATGCCCTCGCCTACGCTTGGCAACAGCAGTGGCCACTCTTGCCGCTGTTGGGCTGCTGACTGAACATTCGCAAATTTCGCCATGGGTGTGAAATCGCAAAAGAAAGCCGCCGCAAAACGCAGAGCTGTAACAAAATGCTAATGAAATTGACTCCAATCGCAAACATTTCCAGGTGCAAATTGGTCCGTGCACACCAATCGAAAACTAAACCTAGCGCAAACGTTTCCTGGTTTACAGCATGCTCTCACCGCGTGTGTTTTGTGTGTGGCTACACAAGATCTGGTCATAAGCAATAGGCTCAGCGACACACCACGGCGGTATACTGCCCAGGGTATCAGAATGATATACTCAACACACCACAGCATTATACTTTAAAAGCAGAAGTTTTCGGTGGTGTAATATTTTCGGTATTCTCCAAAATCGGCGGTTCGGTAGAGGAAAATTTTCGGTAAAACCCGTTCTCCAGGTAAGTGTGCTAGTACTACATGTATACAGTATCGGTTGTACCGAAATTTTCGGTGCGTTTTAATATCGGTAAAAATTATCGGCACCGAAGTTACCGAAAATAAAACACCACCGAAAATTTCTGCTTTTACAGTACTCTGCCTAGGGTATCACAATACATACTCAACACACTACAGGAGGTTCAGCCATACCACAGGATAGATAGAGAGTAACATACCAGCACTTTGGATTGTGTCTCCTGTTTTACTTGTCATTAGGCCCCTTGCACACTACATAGAAAATCCCATTTTTGTTGCGTTCCTGTAAAAGTTACCATGCAAATGGTCTGCTTTTCGCGGGAAACCTAAAATGTTGCGCAAACGTATTCAGCAAACTCCAGACGGGTATACAAAGGCGCGTTTATGTTTTATTTGCATTTCTGGACTGTAGTTTGCTTTGCACCTGTCCTTCCGTGAGACTTCTTGACTCTTGTCGTCAGCTCTTTTTTCCTTTCGATTTGTTCCTTGTTTTGAGTAGTTGCACGTTGTTTGTTTCCTTCTGTCGCGTTGAAGCTAGTTTGAGAAGACGAAAGTTCAGCATGCCGAAAGTTGTGTTCAATGATGAGATGGAGGGGAAGTTGATCGAGCTGTGGGCACACTACCAGCGGGAGAAAAGTGGAACGATGAAGAAGAGGTCACAGAAGGAGAAAGAGATTGCTGAAGACCTCAATCTGTATGCTAGGAGTGTTGGCCTGGACATGGCATTCGATGGGAAGTCGCAGATCCATGTCGAAGTGATAGCATTTCACCAACACTCGACAAACATTTCTGCAGACCAAGCTCGGAGAGAAAGTTTTAAATTTTTTTAAATTTCCCGCACTATCTCCATGCAGCACCGGTGAGGCGGCAGTTGCCATAGAAAATTGTATGAGTATTTTATTAAAAAGAAAATGTCTTTTCAAGTGTGCAATGGAACTGATCGGGACTTGCTTGAAAGTGACGCATACGCTAAAAGGCAACTTTTTACTTGTACGTAGTGTGCAAGGGGCCTTAGTCCATTCAGAAAAAGATGAGCGCTGGCTCTGGAGAGCTCCCGTATTCGGTGATTTTGTGGTGCACTGTGCAGTGCCGCGAGATTCGAAACTTGAAACAGGGTACAAAAAAGGTACCTCAACTGGGGTCCGAGCAGAAAATGTACTTCGAAATACTGTTATGCAAGTGGAGTGAACGACCTGGATTTTCATGGTTTTTCCCCAATTCAGTGCTTTGGGGGCAAAACCTGGCCGAAATCCTATTCTTGTTATGGCTTGTTCTTTGGAGAAATAGACTTCAAAAACACAATTGGAAGAGCACTCCCTGGGGGATTGCCAAAAAATTGTGACGAAAACTCAAAATTTGACTCATTTATGGCCAAAAGCTAAGATATCATATTTTTCTAAATGGACTGTAGAGAGCGTGGTTGTCATGCTCAATGATATCCAGCAGTATGAATAGTTGAATAACATGTTGCACCAGCCCACAGCAAGGCAGGGTTTACATGAAGTAGTCTTCTCCCCCTGGCCCACGCCACACAACAACGCAAACTCTTGGTTGTATCTTCAATACTAAGTATGTATTATATCAACAAATGACGAGGGCGCAGGAGGAGAGAGACAAAACGACTAGACTGAAAACGACGACGGGAAAAGACACCCGGGAAAAGACTCGAAGAAACAACCAAGAACAAGCAGTAATATTGCGACGACAAATCGGGACGACCAATCAGGGACCAATACGTACAGAACACATGACCAAGACCAAGACAACCAGACCACGGACGAATCACACATGACTCTCATTCCCAGACCAAACTAGCACTGCGCATGTACAGCATTCACTTGACAGTCACTCTCACACAGACGGAAGCACATCCTCACACTCTGACAACGCGTACTCTTGCATGCACCACATACCATAAACGTCACACATCACACCATACTCGCACGTACACTTAGACCATACTAGTATATGACATCGGACACTGGACTCTACCAGACAAGAACCAAATACAACAACATGCGTAAATCATAGTCGAACAGAAATCCGCAACATACAGGTCTGGTGCTGGAAGGCAACCAGTTACCAGCACTAGCCGACTCTCAGCAACACGTTCCTCCGCTGTTAGCTCAGCAACACGTTCCTCTGCTGTTAGCTCAGCAACACGTTCCTCCGCTGTTAGCTCAGCAACACGTTCCTCCGCTGTTAGCTCAGCAACACGTTCCTCCGCTGTTAGCTCAGCAACACGTTCCTCCGCTGTTAGCTCCAATATACCTCTGAAAGCCATTGGCTTCAGCATTGTACTGCCAATAACACCAACAGCAGCAGCAGCAGGGAAGGCGACGGTAGCAGCAGCAGCATTGGCTACTCACCGATTTGGCAGACCTGGGAGCCTTGTACTGCAGCAGTTTCTGTGCATCCGGGCTGTCTTTGCCCAGGCCAATGATCTCGATGTAGTACTTAGCTAGAGTCACCTAAAGCAAGGACACAATGAGAACAAAAAGAGAAACTATATTTGCTATATTCACTTGGGTGCCACAGTGGGTTGGTCAGACCATGATTGAGATACAAAAGGTACCTGGTTCAAGTCCTGCCTGGGAGCTGTTTTTCAACCATGCTGCTACCCACAGTCAACTGGGAACTTGTGACCAGGCGCAACGGGTACATGGATGCGGCTACTGGGGTCTTTCTTGGCACTTGTGCCAGTGGTTGTGAGACTTACCCCCTCACCCCCACCGTTAGGCGCTGCATCTGCCGCTGGGTTTTGCCGGATGTTAGCGGCCGTCGTGAGTTCCCTTTGGGAACGGACATGATAATTTACTTATTCATTTGGGATATTGTGTGTTGCTCCCTACGTGGGAGCTTGCGCTATTCCTGCCAATTGTGTATTGAGCAGGGAGAGGTGCTTTCTTGCAGGTTTGCCGAGTGGAAGGTTCGATGGACTTCTCGTGTGCTCTAGATGGCAGTCGTGAGTCAGTCAAGTGAGAATTCAAGTCGGCAGGAATAGCGCAAGCTCCCACGCAGGGAGCAACACACAATACTCCAAGTATCGCCGAAGTTGCACCAACCTCTTCTTCCAATTCATTTGAGATGTATTAGAATTATTCCAAACAAATGTGACTATGACTGGCAGGATTCCAAGGAAGGAACCCAGCCAGCTACAGACCAGCAATAAGCACGGCTACACCCTTCGCTTTAGCTACAAGCAATGAATATGTGCACTAGTCAAACAGCAGAGACTGTTCAGCATTTTCTTCAAACTTGGAAACTCGCCCAACTATCCCAGGCCATAGTATGAGTAGAACAGTTCATGTGTGAGTGTTCACTTCATGTGTGAATGTTCATTTCATGTGAGAGTGTTCATTTCGTGAGTGATCACTTCATGTGTGAGTGTCCACTTCATTTCGTGAGTGATCACTTCATGTGTGAGTGTCCACTTCATGCAGTGTGCGGGAGAGGGACTAGACTACCGTAGAACCCCCGGATAAGCCCACCCACGTGTAAAGACCATGCTCGCGCATAAGCCCAGGCTAAGTTCGAACCAGGCTAAGCTTCATTGCACAAGACTACAAGCCCATGGGACTAGGTCGTACCATGCACGTAGTACATGTACGGTTTTTTGTTTTTTTTTGTACATTTCAAGTTCAATCACAGTGGTTTTCAGCAATGTACATGTACTTCTCACTTCATTGGTACTTTTGTCAATAGCACACTTTTGGTGTTAGGGTATAAGCCCATGTTCTCGTATAAGCCCACCGAAACGTCCATGTGAAACAGATAAGCCCATAGGCGTATGCGCAGGATTCTACCGTACTTTCAAGTTTCAAGTTGACTACACAACACCGTGTATACAGTTAGCTATGTTGTGAAAGTACACCCAAAGTCTACCCCATTGTATAGGACTACAGTACTACAGTACTACAGTATTACACAGTGACCGGACCGGACACACTCCAAATCACTCATGTTATACCTTGCTTGCACAACTGATATCATACTTCCATACCATTATTCTCGTCACCATGAGGCTTATCCTTACACCCAACCCTAGTGTATATAAGCGATTCACCGCCAACATTGGAGCTCGCGCTATTCCGCCGACTTGACTTGACACTTGACTGACTCACAACTGCCACCCAGAGAACATGAGAAGTCCATCGAACCTTCGACTCGGCAAACCTGCAAGAAAGCACCACTCCCTCAGCCTACTCAAGCTCAACTGATGAGGGGTGAACTCCCCGAAACACTGTGTATTGAGCAGGGAGTGGTGCTTTCTTGCAGGTTTGCCGAGTCGAAGGTTCGATGGACTTCTCGTGCGCTCTGGATGGCAGTCGTGAGTCAGTCCAGTGTCAAGTCAAGTTGGCGGAATAGCCCGAGCTCCAGTGTGGGAGCAAACCCATTCCTAAAAAATCATCGCCGAAGTCGCAACGACTATTTCGCACTGCCAACATGTCGATAATAATAATAAGTATGATATAATGCTGTTAGGTACCTCCTCCCATATCTTTTCTAGCTGGCCTGCATGCACTCGCGTACTCACCTTTTGTCTCCTTTTGTTCCGTTGGCCTGGGTAGCTACTTCCGCGCCCATAATTGCCATAGCTACCCAGGCCCTTTATCTTGCTGTTCCGACTTGATCTCTTTCTCTTTCTCACTCTTCAATGTAGTCGTTTCGTTCGTCTTGGTCTCTTGTCTCGTCGTCTATAATAAAAGTCGTTCCCACTAACTTGTTCCCGTTGTCCGTTGTAATGTCTGGAGAATATGTCGTCAGTTGTCCTTTTTCATACTCAACATTGGCGCCCGACTATTGATCACCCACGACCCTGAGATCATCCCATGCCCAGTCGTCCTCAACCGCCATTCGTCTCGTCTATGTCAACCTCGTCTCGTCCATGTCCATCTCGTCTTGTCTCCAACCTCGTCTCCTCTCCAACCTCGTCTCGTCTATGTCAACCTCGTCTCGTCCATGTCAACCTCATCTCTTCTATGTCAACCTCGTCTCGTCTAAGTCATGCAGGTCAGCTACTTTCTTTATTTCTCTTTTTCTTTTTCATCCATCCTTCGTCGTCAAATTTATTTTCAGTTTATTTTATTTTGTGATTTTTGTAGTGTGTGTGCGCGCGCGGGTGTCCTTCATTAATATTAGGGGTCCGATCATGGTGAGCCACGTTCTTTTATTTAGGTCGTATATTAAAGTGTAACTAGGCCGTTTTAGCTGTGCAAAATACTAGTAATGAGAATACAATTTAGGTTCCTCGTCAAACTCCAATAGTTATTTTTGTGCCATTTTTGAAGGGGCGTTTGGGCCCGCCGTTATCGGCAATGTACACACTATAAGTAGTACAGGAACGTTGTAATGATCTGTAGTGCATTTTTAGTATACACTTTTGTGAGGCCCGTGCGTTGTGTGTGTGTTTTTTTGTTTTGTTTTTGTTTTTCTTCTTCTCTTCTTCCTCGGTCATTGTTTCTCTCTATTTTTCTCATCGTCTTATTATTTCCCGCGAGGTCGCGGTTCTTTTTTCACTCAGGGGAGGTATGTTAGGTAACTCCTCCCGTACCTTTTCTAGCTGGCCTGCATGCACTCGCGTACTCACCTTTTGTCTCCTTTTGTTCCGTTGGCCTGGGTAGCTACTTGCGCGCCCATAATTGCCATAGCTACCCAGGCGCTGTATCTTGCCGTTCAGACTTGATCTCTTTCTCTTTCTCACTCTTCAATGTAGTCGTTTCGTTCGTCTTGGTCTCTTGTCTCGTCGTTTATAATAAATGTCGTTCCCACTAACTTGTTTCCGTTGTCCGTTGTAATGTCTGGAGAATATGTCGCCAGTTGTCCTTTGTCCTACTCAACAGTGCTAACAGGTGAGCAGTGCATGGTTGTACATGTGATTGTAGTCTGTTGTCTGTAGTCATGTACTCTTACCTCTTTCATTCCGTACGGCAGACGATCTCGATCACATTGAGGTAGTAACAATCTCATGCCAGCATACAGGCTGTCATCCTGTTCATACACACACACACATGCACGCACGCACACACACACACACCACACACACACACACACATACACGTGCACACACGCACATACACACACATACACACACACAAAATACACAGAATACACAACATAAACATCACACTCATGGATATAGCGTTGCCTAGTCCACAAGCTATGCTAGACGTGGCAACTTGTGCTGGCATTACACCATTCAACAGCTTGCAAGGCTGAGGAACTGACCACTCCCATTTTTAGCAGCAAGCAGTTTTCTTTATCTTTTATACACACACACACACACACACACACACACACACACGCACACACACACACACACACAGACAGACAGACACACACACACACACACACACACACATAGACACACACACACACACACACACATACACACACACAAACACACACACCATGTACACACTCAGACTCAGACATGCCCATCGCGGGAGCAATGATAGCGAACAGCTATGTTAAACATAGCAACTTGTGCTGGGATTACTGTAAAAGCCATTATTCTAACGAGGCGCATGTATAACGCTTTCCCAAAATTGACTGGTTTACGTGTACCAAAGGTAACGATTCTGTCTCATTCTCAACGCTCAATAGGGCAGTATATGTATCAATTTCTGCATAACGATTTCTATTTTAACGACAGATTTCTCCTCGTTAACCCGTTAGAGTTATCACTTCGTATAATTATATGGCTTTTACAGTACACCATTCAACAGGTTGCAAGGCTGATGAATTGACCGCCACTAATATTAGCATGGTCTACACCACACAGCTGATTGGAGTGGCTTTTTCTGGGCAGTGAATCCCTATTTTTCTTTTCTTTTTTCCACACACACACACACACAGGAGAGTGAACCGTTTTCATCAAATGGAGTGAAGGAGGGAATGGGGCGAGGGGTGAGAGCACACAGACGGCCAGTGTTGAGTCGCTACTGGCAGCTGTTTGGCTGGTTAGTCACCCGGAGCTCCGTCAACGCGGGCATGGAGCTAATGCGAGCGCGTGGCCGAGGTTGCGCTGACTAGTTGGCGGCGGCTAGCCGAGCTCGACAACGTGCATGGCCTCAATAACGGAACTGCCACCCCAACACCGGCCACGCAACAGCTGCAGCATGTTGAAGTTTTCCTTATTCGTCCTGCCAATGTGTCATGCTAGTAATGTCTTTTTCCAGAACGTTCGAACCTTTTGAAAATGGTTTACCCATGTTGTTTAGTTTTCGACGTGGTTCTCGGCGGTAGTTTATAAGTAGAATTGTACTATCATGTACAGATCATGTACAGTATACTCGTGTTATGTCGCTTTGCCACTATGTACGGTCAGCTGTCATGATTCCTGTATTCATCCGTTTTTCCAGTTTTATTTGTCGAAGTAAATAGTTGACATTTCGTGTGTTTTTAGGACTGTCTCATTACATTTATATTCCTTTTGCCTATTCTGCAGTTGCACACGTGTGTTCACCTCATTGGCCCGGCTCGTTCCTCGTTTCTTTTGTTCATTTGGCTTATGCGAAGACTAGCCAAGCTTGCTTGGTGATGTCAACGTGAACAAGCGTATAATAATTGGTGGTTTAGCGTGTGCGCTAAGCCCTGTTAACGAACGTGGAACATCTACCACTCATACTTAGTCTGATGATCATGCATCTGATTATGATGTCATTGCTATACATGCGCATGCGCAGCGCGCGCCACTCTCCCACGCATGCATTCCAAATCTTGCTTTAGAGAGAGAGAAGGAGAAAAGAGAGACTCCTTTGTCACTTTTGCTTTCTGACGACTTGACTGTTCACTGGTTTGTCCGTCAGTGTCAATTTCCCCTTCCCTCCCAACCCCATTCGACTGGGGATCACTATCTCTCCGTCACTGTCACCATAATTTCCTCAATAACAGTGTCAGTACAACTCTTGTCAATATACTTATATCGGGTGAGGGCAGTCTATCTCCGCAGCTGGCTCATTTCAATCACTACCGGTCGCAGCTCCTGCCCACGGCAGGCCGACCGTCTCTCGTTCACACTCTGTGTGCTACAGGTCACAGCTCCTGCGCAGAGCAGGCCGACCTGTCTGTCTCTCTCTCACACACACTATGTGTGCACCGGGTCACAGCTCCTGCGCAGAGCAGGCCGACCTGTCTTTCTCATGCACGCCAGCTGCTCCGCCCAATATCCCTGATATGCCAACCAGAAAACAATGTGTTCTGAGCCGGGTGCATGCCTGTATGTGGAGAGTGCGTTAAACGCGCGCACACACACACACACACACACACACACACACACACACACACACACACACACACACACACACACACACACCACAACATATACGCCAGCATGCACTGGCTGTTGGTAACCACCCAGGTACCAACAGTAAAGTACCGCCAGAGCGCCCCACCAATCGTCCTTTCGTGGTCGCTCTGGGGAGGCAGAGTGGCCGCGAGTGTGTGAGGTGGTCTGTACTGGGGTCATGAACACACCTACGCAGCGACTGTCACAGTGAAGCAACAGCGGCGTAGTAAAGGCAAATTCCATGGTGTTTGTGCTGGCTGCAGCGCTGGGCACTGCAGTTCACATGACTCACCGTACAAGTAAAATGCGACACAACCCCAATGTTGCAAAAACAGAATGAACCCCGTACGACTTCAGTCGCACCTCACCATACGACGTCCACTTCTATGGCCGGAAACGAGAGTCCTCTTTCTGCACTTCAGGGTGGGGCGTTCTCGCGAGACGGGGCGCTCTGGCGGTACTTTACGGTATATCTTTTTTACTGTAATAAAAAGTTATCCCTAAATTGACTTTTTACTTCGACGTTGTCGTTGTATTGGGTTTGCATTCATGAGTTTAAATTGCCCGTGAAAGATGTACATCAAAATGGCATCATATTACTTACCACTTTGGTAGAACCATGAAGAGACTTGTGCAGCTCTCTCCATTTGCTGAAGAAATTCTTCACCAAATCCTTCTTCTTATCAGTTCCACTGACTTTGCAGATCTTCTCACAAAGAGAGCATACAGCTTCAAAGGGAATTCCAGCAGCTACTTCAGTGGGTCTCTTCGCTGCCATTTCTTCTAGGGTTCTCACAGCACTTTATCTAGGACGTAACGTTGCAGGTGTTCTTGCAATAATAATATTATTATGAGCAAAAGCATTGACTATGTAACTATTTGATGTCCGCAACGACTGCGTAAACACCGCTCGCTACTTGCATTGATCTTCAATGGCACGACGCATCATGACCATTCTTCAGGCCAAACTAATTATTTTACTTGGCAGGCCAAACCTGATAACCACAACACTGATATCCATGCATGACCAGTCAGGGAGATGTCCTATCTAGGACATCGCACTCTGAATGAGTCTGATTGGTTACCTGTCCCAGAGTTGTCATGGAAGCGAAGGTCGCGCACACGCGATGAAAAGAAGTGCTGCGTGAGCATTTCTGAATGTATGTGGAGGATGCACGATCGTAATGGCGATGGATTGGTCAAGTTTGAGGGAATAGGCGGAGAATATCAGACATCGGCGGGGATTGAGGTAGTGTATATTCGATTCTCCATCGAATACCCGACCGAATGGCCGTTTTCGTTTGGGGATTTCATGTGGGGTTTCTCGTAGCCACGCGGCACTTCTTTGGAAACGATTGGTTCTAATTTTGAATATTTTGCCTTTGGAATGTTTCTTCACCATGTTCACGCCCCGTGCGTTCATTTCGCCCCAAACCTGGCCATGCAGAGGAGGAAGACGAGCCAGCAGGCGCTAGGCCCGTAAATTACTGCCTGGAGGATATTATTTGGCCAAAGCTTGCTGTTGGCGTTTTTGATTTCTTGGATACGACAGCTCTTGGCTAAAACTGGACCTTGGACGGTCTTTCTTGGATATCAACCCAGGACGTGGTGGTCATGGACGTATCGCCATCGCTTTCAGCCAGATCCTTCTGCTGCCTGAAGCCAATGGCGAAAGTAAAAACTTTATCGCAGCAGCAGCTACTGCTCTGCTGAAAGTGCGAACACAAATTGCTTCGCCAATCCTCTTGTGCACTTGCAATTTTCAATGCGACCAAAACGATTCGCTTGCCAGTTCCTTTGTCCAGGCGTACTCCACAACGAGGAAAATAAAATTCGTGAAGGTAAGAGGCAAGATACGAATCTCGACCCGCTTGAGGCAAGCCGCCAGGAGAACGACAACTATAATAATTACTTTTGAGACGAAAGGCCTTCGTTGCGTTTGTTTTGAGTGCGACATGTTCATCTTCCTCGGACGCGAGTCACGTGTCACGATTACTATGGGAACAGCATAGTATGTATGCTGGGGCATGCTGGGTTCCGTGATGTCCTATCTAGGACATCACCAGGACTGATGACAAGGACATCCAGCCAATCCGAACAAGTCCAAACACATTTTGAACATGATGAAGATGACGATGCTGCTCATGGCCCGCGCCGCGGCGCAGCAAAACAATATGCACACCGCAACTATGATGTCATCTTTCGTTGAAGCGCAAAAAAAGAATTATAATTATTATTATTTTTGTCATGAAAAGGTTTGTCACATGCACAACACGAAAAAGTGTTGGTCCCCAACTGCCCAAGTCAAGGGACCAAGGCCAAGAAAACTTGGCAGGAAGGTGGAATGCCTGACCTGTGAAGGCACGAGGAAGAATGTTCTTGAGGAGCTCATGTCGTTTGCTCCTCAGTAAATCATGCATCGCCCGTGCTTGCTCATCCGTCGGCGGCGGGGACTTGGCTAATAGTAAAGCTTTGCCGGATGTAAAAACTGCGTACAGCAGAGTGTTGAAGGATTTGAACGCCATCAAAGCTAGCAATGACACTGTGGATCTGGAGAAGTTTGAGCGTGCATTACGCCTCGCGGCGTATTCTCCTGCTCTTAAAAGTGCGAAGGAGAGGATCGAGCTTGTAAAGGCGTGCACAGACCTGGCAGAGCACAGAAACATCGATCTGTCGGTCAAGCAGCACAACTTCATACTGCAAGCTTATGTAGTAGCGGAGTTCCCCTTCTCTTGTAGTGGCTACCTGTTGTCGATGCAACAGAGTTCAGTGGAACCCAACAATGACACGTTCCAGTTGTGTGCATTGGCGGAATGTGCAGCAGGCAATGTGGATGCTGTGCTGGACTTGATTGAGAGGATGAAGGAGCGGAGCATGAAGGTCAGAGAGATCGTGTATGCTGGCCTCATTGAGTCGTACTGTCGGTTGAAGCGGCACAAGGAGGCTTTTCAGACTCTGGACGCGTTACTAGCGAGCAAGGAGGTGTCGGCGACGGCCACATCCTACATGGCGTTATTGCGTGGCGTAACACAGTACGCTGGACCAAGGTATGTGTTGGAAGCACTGAGTAAGCTGCGGCAGAACAGCAGCATACTACTAGACCCTGATCAGTACAAGAAAATCATACATACCGCGGGCATTGTGGGTCATCTGCAGTCGCTCAATTTGCTTTTGTCCAATCAGCATGTTGCTGGTAGTCAGTATGTTGCTGGTGGGACAGTACCGGGCGTTGTCTATCTGCTGTCTGACTTCTTCAAGGCTAGAGCCATGAGATCGTGCCATATACTTCTTGCCCACCTCACCGCTGCTTCGCCCGACTCGGCACCGACGCAATTTGGTGCAGTAAGCTATTTCGTCAACCTGGTGGAGACCTCAGGCCTGTCGTTTGATGAACAGATGCAGGTGCTGATCGAGGCTCAGAAGGCCGTGCCATCAGCCAACATAGTCACCACGCATTTGACGCTGATCGTAAACCATGAGAGCGCACCGCCCATGCAGATCTCGATGGCTATTGCACGGTACCTGCAAGCTAATGTTGAGCTGAACTGTGATATCATGCACATTATCCGACTCAAGCTGGAGGCAAGCAAATCCATCGACAGTGTGGCCAAGTGGATTGGTAGCTTTCAGCAGCATCGTATGTTCGTGCCTGACTGGCTCTGGTATGCTCTGGTGTATACGTCTGCTGACACCAAGGCGCCAGTGGCCACGGTCATGCAGCTCATGTCCAAACTGCAAATGGACATATTCACCACGGCGTGTGTGCTGAAATCGGTGGATAGCTGTTCGCGAGCATTGCCAAGCGCGACTGATTATCTGGCGGAGTTCCGCTCTGCCGTCACTGGCATCCAGCCTGCTCTATCCACACCTGCAGTGCAAGACAGTACGACTCTTCAAGTACCCGCCGAAGGTGTAGAGGAGGCCAAGCTGAAGTCTATCTTAGATGACGTAGATAGCCTTGTGCCTGCATCTGATGAAGATGCTGCTGGCCTATTGGAGAGGTCTCTACCATCGCTGATGCTCACCAACGTCAAAGATGCGTTCTTGTTGGCCGCGCATGTCTGTGACAAACGCCCCGAGGTGGCCAAGGCGGTGCCAATCGCTTGTCTGCACTCGCTGCTGACAGCGCTGCACGATGGGAAACTACCGCTGCACTTCTTCCGTTTTGCGCTGTCCCTTCGCTCCGCCGGCGTTTCCCCACCGAGTAATTGGCTCCAGTTATCGTTAGCTATGCATAGTGCCATGGGACATCTTAACACGGTGGATGAGATCTTTGACGACTTGTGCGCACGGTCATCTGGTAACATTGCCAGCCTCCCCAAGAGCCTAGTCTTGAAGGTCTTCCAGCACTGGTTGTCTTCTAGTCGTGCTAGTGACGTTCTCGTCTGTTATGGCAAACTCACCGATCCGGTGGCCAGCGATGGCGATCTACTGGGACTGGTTGTGCAGGCGTATGTAGACCTGGGTGATGCCGAGAATGCGGCGTTCTTCATGGAGAAATCCATGTCGGGAAAGTCGCGGCCGTCTCAGCAAGCACTGGCTGGACTAATGGAGATTTACCAGCGTGGCAACAATCCTGATTCTGCGTGGAACCTCTGGCAGAAAGTGATGCCGGCTGGCCTTACACCAAGTGCCAAAGTCGTTGCTTCGCTTGCCAAGTTGTTGGTGTTGAATGACCGACATGAGGACATGTCAACCCTGTTAACACAAACCCGTGTTAACTCTCCGGTGGTCCAGGATATTGTATTCTCCGCCTATGTTGCCAAAGGTCACCTGACATCCGCACTAGATTTCGCCATAGCTCATGACTTACCACCCGCATCACTTGTTCCTCTGTGCGCAGCTCCGTTCAAGCTGCCAATGGACGAACTGAAGGCATTCATGAATAGCGTGCAGAACCGTGGATCTCCAGCATTCAGACCACTCTTCCGGCAGCTAGTTCTTGTCTTGTCACTGACAAGGAGCTCTGATGAAGAAGTTACCCGTCTCTTGGAGCAGTTCCAAATGACAGATAAGGCTCGGTCACAGATGCTGAAGGAACTAATCAGTGCGTCCTGCCAAGTAGAGGGCACCGAGGCTGTCAGTGCTGTCTTCCGCTTGCTGATCTTGTCACATCAGCTAGGCAGGCCTGTCAAGCAGTTTGCCGAGTCGTTCCTGGATGCACTTGCCAAGGCCGACCGTCGCGAGACAGCCATAGCACTTGTACGCTTTGCTGCTGACGCCAATATTCAGTGGAGTTTGGTTGCTCGCTTGTCCCTAGATCAGCTTGGTCTCTCGGCTGTCGCTGGTGTTTTCAGTGGAGATAAAGCCAGTGGAGATCGAGGCAATGTAGTACCCACACACCAGCCTACTGCCAGCTCAGACACTGCTTCTGCTAACCATCATACAAACACAACAGCCGTGTAGATTTTAGAGACTTCAGGTTCCTGTGCCTAGTCCTAGACTAGATGGCCAAGTTATGATTGCTCCTTTGCTGTGTACATATCAAGTTTGTGCTTCTCGTACTGTTGCTGCTGCTATTGCTACTGTTGCTGTTAAGGCTGTACATTATGCTGTAGTATTGTACATACACACTGCCCTCTGTCAACCCCAGCCAATCTTCCATTGAGACTTTTGATACTGTTGCCTGCCTGCCCCTCTCCCTCTCTCTCTCTCTCTGACAGGCCCTGTTCCACAGCTGGTTCTGTGTGTGTGTGTCTGTGCGTGTTTTTTTCAGTGCATATCATTATGCTGATTGTGTTTTTTGCTTGGTGTTTCTACTGTACAGATACATGTATCGTGTTAAATATTTGTGTCAACGTGTTATTGACATCTCGAGTTGAATGCTACCTACTTGAGACATACTCTCGCTTTCTTTGCCAGTGAAGAATAATTTTGATCAACCAAGTATTGTTCTTCGCAAGACTATTACTACAGTACTTGAAAGTAGTTTGCATCATGTTCACAACAGTCCAACGAAATCAAGTTCTTCGCTGAACTGCATGTGTGCGTGTGTCTGTGTGTGTGTGTGTGCGTGCGTGTGTGCGCGCGCTTGTCTGTATCCTGTACATGTATGCGTACGTGCAGGTTTTGCTGATGTGTCCTTCGCCACTGCAAGCCCATCACAGCAGAGGCTTATGCTGCTGCTGCTGTCGTCGTTGTGAAGTGGATCGAGCCCAAAGACATGCTGTATGCACTGAGCGAGTACGTCTATTTGCCCCAGTATTCACCAGTCTGGGACCTACAGGATACAGTGTATCAGATTCACGTGCATACTCTGGTGTACTTTGTATCAGATTCACATGCATACTCTCGTGTACTTTGGGAACGTGGTTCAGATTGTCAGCCAGGATGACCTGGCAGCTGCAGCATGATGAACACTGGTATATTGACAAGCATGAGTTTTAGGCTTGTCCTATGCATATTCAACCAGATAAAGGCATAGTTACTGCTTTTGTTGCACCTACCGTGAGATGTTAATCAAAACGTTACTGTGTGCCAGTTTCCAATGAGTGGACTGTATATTTTGTTCAGAGGTGTAGCCACTAGTTTTCTACCCAGAGCGCAGCCTACCGCATGCATGCAGCCACTGTACACTGCACTGGTCACTGTAAGAGCACTGGACATTGAAGGCGTAATAGAGAAGAATATGCAACATTGCACGCAGCCGTGACTATGCTTTACAGTCATGCATTCCTCAACTTGTTTGTTCTTGTTTTGATCTCACACACATCATTGTATTAGCAGAGGTATTTGCTTCCAGTCCAAGATATGGCTAGGCTAGCCGCTACCATTAGCCATTGTGAAGGATGCAGTCAAGAAAGCGGATGCTTGACACAGCATGCAATCGGGAAGGGTAATTGATACAATGGGCATTTCATGTCACCTTGCTGACTTAGCAATGGAATGCAGATGAATTTAAAACAGCAGAATCTGATGCTGATGTAACATGTGGAGTATCCCGAAGAAACAGTTTTATTCATGATGCCAACACGGCGAACAGCACTGAGTTCAAATGTAACTCTCGCCGATGGAAAGTCGGTGAAGCTGAGCAGAAACTAGTCAGAATTATGGTCTGAAAAGATATCATTTAAAAGTAACTTTCGCTCAAGCTAATGAAGATTTTAGGATGATTATCTTTAAGACATTTATCCTCCCAGTAGAATAGTTACGAATCACAGTACCAGTGATCAATACCATCCTGCAGGTGGCAGGAATCTTTGTCATGGAAACATCACTAACTTGAAGTCATATCAAGTCTGCAGCTAGCTATAGCAGCGTGCATGCTAACATTGATGTTATCATTACTCATATTGGAAGCTTCGTGGAGGTAGGCACCATTGCCCGGCTGTGAAAGCTAAACGGATCAGTTTTATACAGGTGAATGTCGGGCTGCCAAACCAAACCACTATCACTCCTACTTTGAAGTACATGTACACATGCCGGTAGATTCTTATCAACAGGTCGACTGTCGCTATGTAAACGGTTTCTAGAACTACTGAAACAAGAAGCCGGTGCATGTCGAAGCCTTCATTTATGTTGTTCAATGGCTTGGACAGTGCATGCTATCATGGAGTGATTAGAAAGCCTGAACTGGCTGTACAAGAGCTGAATCCTTACAGTGAGATGCTTCAAACTTTCGGCACCGTAGACAGATCAATTTCTGTGTGACTTCGGTGGCACATCATGACCAGTCGGATACAGCATGAAGACAGATTGCTCGGACTGAGAACATCAGTCTGTGTTCCAGGAAGAGCAGTCGGAAACGACATGGCTAGCACTGTTGTGTAGTTCAGCTGTCTTTGGGAAGTGGCGGCGGTGATGATGAGGATGCAGCGGCTTCGCTAGCAGGACTCTCCACAGTGTCCTTTTGAGTGGCTGCAACTAGACTCCACAAGCGTGCACGCAGCCAGTTGATGTCAGACTGAAACTCAGGATGAGTAACGAGCTGTCTGCCAGTGTATCTTAGTAGGAATCTCTGCAAGTCAGCCACACCCAGACTGTCCACCCATTCCGGAGTAACGAGATCAGTTGCAGTAGCAGTGAGGGTGGCGGGCAGCATTGGTGTATAGCCACCTTCATCTGTATCATCTTCGAGAGGCTGGCCTGTTTTTCCTTTACTGTAAATCTGAGTGGATAGAAACAGCAGCAGAATGAGATGATTGAGCACTGAATTGAAATTCCGACATTGGAATCATGTCACTGCTCAGAAATTACCTATTTATTCTACCCATAGGCCTATCATGTAGTAGGGCATTTCCCCGCCCGGCCTGCTGTCGTATAATGGAGTAAGGGTATTCCCCTAACCGACCTCCTCTCATTGAACCATTGCAGGAACAACATTATCTCCCTTGAGATACTGCACAGCCTCTGAGTTCTCCCCATCAAGACACACCGATAATGAAGACGGTCTGTGACTCAGGACTACGTGTATTTAGTATTTAGCCAGCCAGCCAGTCTGCATGACTGCACGATTACACGATTACATGGCAACGTGACATCATTACTGCATGCATGGCTATATTACTGTACGACTGCACACCTAGTACCTGCCTGCATGACTGCATAACGCATGGCTATATGACTGCATACATACGGCAATGCCTGGACTGAATCAAGACCAACTATCTGTCTTCCACTCCCTATCCCCCCCCCCCCCTCCCCGATTCTCCCCGCTTTTCAGCAATACCTCAGTAGTTACCTGAACAACGTCTTCTAAACAGCCTTCAACCTGCTTATCAACCACAGGGTCTGCAGTCAGCATCTTGATATGATCACCCTGTCCACAAACCAGGCAAATACAGAAGATAGCGTCATCCCCAAAGCGTTCATGTCCAAATCATAGCACCAATACAATGGAGCATGTACAGCGTGCCTAGTGTTTACCGTTTGTAGAGTGTGTACGGCGTGTAGAGTGTGTAGAGTGTGTAGAGTGTGTAGAGTGTGTAGAGTGTATGCAGCATGTAGAGTGTATAGAGTGTGTACAGTGTGTTTACTGTGTGTAGAGGGTATGCAGCGTGTTTACTGTGTGTAGAGGGTATGCAGCGTGTAGAGGGTATGCAGCGTGTAGAGTGTGTACAGCGTGTAGAGTGTGTACAGCGTGTAGAGGGTATGCAGCGTGGTAGAGTGTATACAGCGTGGTAGAGTATATACAGCGTGTAGAGTATGTACAGTGTGTAGAGTGTGTATGGCGTGTAGAGTGTGTAGAGTGTGTACAGCGTGTAGAGTGTGTAAAGCGTGCAGAGTGTGTACAGCGTGTAGAGTGTGTACAGCGTGTAGAGTGTGTACAGCGTGTAGAGTGTATACAGTGTGTAGAGTGTGTACAGCGTGCAGAGTGTGTAGAGTATGTACACCGTGTAGAGTGTATAGAGTATGTAGAGTGTATGCAACATGTAGAGTGTATACAGCGTGTAGAGTGTAAAATGCTTACAGTGTGAAGAACACAACATGCCAAACAGGAGCAAAGTCAGGTAAAAAATCCCCCCCCCCCCCCCCTCTCTACCCCACATGCCCCCACAAGCCCCAGGCGGATAAGACGACCACTAATGCACTTACCAGTCTAACACATATCTCTGCAAAGCAAGGTCTTTTGTCAGGTTCCAGGGACATACAGGCGTGCATCATTGAAACTCTAAAGACAACCAAGACACAGCAGATAGATATTGGCTGTGGCTGACATAGGCACTGGGCACTACACTATCAGACTGGCTGACATAGGCATAGCGGACAGACACCAGCTATGGTGGATATACAGGCGCGTGCCCCGTATGGGTTCCTGGGTGCCCGGAACCCCCCTTTTTTTTTCTCGCTCAAAATCGCTCAAAATGCAGGATTTTGCTTCACTTTTTGAAATTTTTCCCGGGGGGGGGGGGGCGCGACCCCCGCTTAAAGGGCACCGGCGCATGCACCTGGATATAGACATTGTGCAGTACACCACAACACTGGCTGACAAAGGCACAGCACATGTACAGAAGCAACTGTAAACCAGGAGGCACAATGAAGTCATAGCTTCCAACAACAACAAAGAACACTATGGGGTGACACAAGACATCACCGTTCAGCACTAGTGAGGCTAGTCCCACATAATCCGTGTGTACTTTACGTGTGTGTACCACGTGATACTCAGTGACCCATGTACAGCTTTTCTGATTCACGACACACCGTGTATGGAGGCTCACCCACGTTCCGCCAGAACGTGGGTGAACATAAGAATGGAGTGCATTGCGCGAGCTGTGAGGGTGCTTAGCTGAAGAAGTTTCCGAAGCACGAAATCAAAATATTCGATGAGCTTCGAAGCTTTGTCTTTGACCAAGTTTGGGCCTTTCGCTTCCTGTTTTTGTTTGTTCTGTGTGACTAAAAACAACATTGCGAACGTGGGTCCATTGCATTAACTTTACGTGTATCACCCACGTTCCCGTATCCGTTACGTGTAACTGAACCTCCCTACTTACATCATATCACTGGCAACTGCAGGCCGCTCAAGTTGCATGCCACCTAAAAGCTTATAGTAGACCTCGGAGTTAGGAATTCCTGTGTAGGGAACAGCACCATCGGTCAGAGTCTCCCATAGCATCACTCCAAATGCCCTGAACAACACAAGCAGCAGCAGCAGCAGCAGCAGCAGCAGGTAAAGAATTTTGGAACTTGTACTGACTTACACCCATCTAGCGACTTTCGTCACATTGCCCTTCTCCCAACTGTCTTGTTTTCATTCTGCACTCTACGCAATCATGCACTGTGTTACTGCATTGATTGTGTCACACTGTCCTTCTCCCAACTGTCCTGTCTTCGATGTGTTCTCCACACATTCACATCCTTGAGATATATTGGAGAGCGAAGGAACTGTCTGTTGCATGGTACTCGGGGCTTCATGCAATCTTCGTCATCATCAGATAGCCGAGCACGAGCCGAACTCTGTTATAGCAACATTAGCCGGAGAACAACGGTGTGACCACTTACCACACATCACTCTTGAACGAGTATATTCCATCGCGCAGCACCTCGACAGATAGCCACTTGACGGGCAATGTGCGCATGGTCAGCAGGACGTACTCTGCACTGCTCCTGCACAGCCGGGAAAACAACGGCAGGAGTACTAGTACATCATCATTCACGACATGGAGCTTAACCAGGAAATTAGCAGGTCAAGATTGCCTATTATCGAGTGTTCCTGAGGATTGTGCTTGTCAGTATGGGTAACAGGACTGATACCATACCTAGGAGAATCTGCCCAGAGTTCAAACACATATCACACATCACACTGACAGTGTTGCTACTTGCTCACTGTTCAAACACATGTACAATACTACTACCAAACGGCTTGGGATTCTGTAAGTTGCCAACTTGCCCTGTGGAGAGAGAGAGAGGGGGGGGGGGGGGAGAAAACAGACTGTGATCAGCCCTTCACACAATGATGTCAGATTTGTACTCATGCCATACGGGGTAATGCCGGAACACCTACTTTGCAAGACCGAAGTCAGATATCTTGGCAATGACCTCATCATCACTCGTACGGCATAGGAGCACATTGCGAGCTGCCAGATCACGATGGAGAATTCTGCAGTCAACATCACCATAGAGACCAGTGATACAGTCACACAGTGACATATATAGCATTACCAGGGCGTCGGAAGGAATTCTACATTTCTGTGGCTATGAAAAGGGGGCAGGGGGCAGGGGGGGGTTCGGGGTTCGGAGGCCCTAAGGCCCCTTGCACACTACGTACAAGTAAAAAGTTGCTTTTAGCGTATGCGTCACTTTCAAGCAAGTCCCGATCAGTTCCATTGCACACTTGAAAAGACATTTTCTTTTTAATAAAATACTCATAAAATTTTCTATGGCAACTGCCGCCTCTCCGGTGCTGCGTGGAGATAGTGCGGGAAATTTTAAAATTTTTTAAACTTTTCTCTCCGAGCTTGGTCTGCAGAAATGTTTGTCGAGTGTTGGTGAAATGCTATCACTTCGACATGGATCTGCGACTTCCCATCGAATGCCATGTCCAGGCCAACACTCCTTCAGCGATCTCTTTCTCCTTCTGTGACCTCTTCTTCATCGTTCCACTTTTCTCACGCTGGTAGTGTGCCCACAGCTCGATCAACTTCCCCTCCATCTCGTCATTGAACACAACTTTCGGCATGCTGAACTTCATCTTCTCAAACTAGCTTCAACGCGACAGAAGGAAACAAACAACGTGCAACTACTCAAAACAAGGAACAAATCGAAAGGAAAAAAGAGCTGACGACAAGAGTCAAGAAGTCTCACGGAAGGGTGCAAAGCAAACTACGGTCCAGAAATGCAAATAAAACATAAACGCGCCTTTGTATACCCGTCTAGAGTTTGCTGAATACGTTTGCGCAACATTTTAGGTTTCCCGCGAAAAGCAGACCGTTTGCATGGTAACTTTTACAGGAACGCAACAAAATGGGATTTTCTATGTAGTGTGCAAGGGGCCTAAGCCCAAATAGCTCATAATTAATTGCTTCCAAAATCACATTTAAAAATTATTGATTCGGCTTTGGCCACACCTGCCGCACCGGTTACAACACCCCTGATTACTAAACCATTGCAAAAGAATAAATCACGCTGTGTCCATCATTTCACAAGAACTTCTAATGATTTAGCCCGGCCCACCTCAGCCAGTGCACAATGATGGTCATGCGTCCAAGTGGGCATCTTATATACGCGTGGGCTTCGTCAGGCGAAATTACTGGTCAGTCGGCGACACGCATTTTTCACAAAATTTTGCGTTTCACCTGCTGGGAGAGTATGCGTGTACTCGAGTCTCATCCTGAGCACGTTTTTTTCTTCTTTTTTTCAGCTCCAATAGCTGTATTTTTCATTGCAAAGCCGTACTCGATTGTTGTGTTCGTTGTTCAAACGAAGTGGACATTCAATCATGAAGGCAGAGGACATAGGAGCCTGATTGGAGTTTCTCGTGGCATAGGACGGCCACACACAGACACTTTGGGATTTTCTGAATATAAAATACCGTACGCACGATGCTGAGATCAATTTGTGCGATATCAAATTGTTTGTGATCTACCACATCGAGCAGAACGGGATCCAAACACAAGCTTACCGACGGTTAGGCTGCCGACCTGACTAGACAAATGATCCCTGGCTTCACCAGACGCCAGAAGTCGGACACAATGTCCTTTGCCGCGACGTCCATCTCCAAAAAGAACTCCATCTTCGTCGTGAAAAGGCTTGAAATACTCAATATTCAACCGAGATTCGCGGACTCGCGCTTTCTCGGATCGATTAATTTCCTGTTGGAACAGTTGCAGGGCAGCTTCCAGCCACTGTTTCAACAGGCGATGGCTCAAAAGCATGCCTGGAACAAGCCATATCGAGGTTGCAAGCCACCCCTCTCAGCAAAAAATTCGAAGAAATTCGAAATTTCAATGGTGGAAGATATACTATGAAGAGAATTTCAAAAAGTATGTTTCGCGGAGCGATCGCTCAACCTACGTCATTCAAACTTTGCAGGATGGTTGAGACGTACATGCTAGGCATGGAACCACAGGCGATGATGCCATAGCTGACACACAGAGTAACACACACAGCAGATTCGTGTGCACAGATACTAAATTAGTGGACGTCGTCATCTTCTTCCCGCTGATCTCGAATGTACTATGACGTGCTATTTCGCCTGACGTACTCACTCGCTGAACTCACTTACCCTTTCTTCTCCGAGATGTAGTTCATTCCCGTGGCAACCTGGAAAATTATCCACAGCTTGACAGCATAGGGTAAAGTGTCACCGGCTTCCTTGCAGTCTGTTAGAAAGGTCTTCAAATCACCTTCATTCATCACTTCCATGATCATGCAGAATGGTGTTGCACTGAAAGTTAGACCACAAAGAACACAACACAACATTCAAGCACATATTATAACTGAACATAACACACAACACACACACATACATACACACACACACACACACACACACGCAAACGCACGTACGCACGCACCCCCCCCCCCCCCCCCACACACACACACCACCGCCACCTAGTCCACAGGCGCACAACACCACAATAACAGCAGGTCGCCAGGAAAACTGTCTGGGGAGCAGCACTTTAAGACTTACTCTATCTGAACACCAAGAAGCTTGACAACATGTGCGTGATCCATCCTAGCCATGATAATTGCTTCCTGCAAGAATTGGTTGAGCTCAATCAGGCTATGCTTAGCTGCATCAGCACAGGGAAACAGTCAAAACAATAAAATTGGATTCATGCACAGAACTCAAATATGAGACCAGAACTAGAGATGCAATTGATGGTAGAGTGCTCCAACTGGCAAGAATATCTAAGCATGTTATATAATACCAAGGAAGCTTTGGATTGGGGGGGGGGGAGGGGATGGGGGGGGGGGGGGAAGCCAAAGTGCTCCATCTAAGTAATACAGCTTTGACACAGGCAGAGCTAGCTCCTGGATGACCCCAGGTCGAGGCAGAGCTAGCTCCTGGATGACCCCAGGTCGAGGCAGAGCTAGTGTAGCGTATAGCGTATTCCCGTACGTTAGTATATTCCCGTACGTTACTGTATTCCCGTACGTTAGCGTATCCCCGTACGTTTAACTGTATCCCCATACGTTAGCGTATCCCCGTACACTAGCGTACGGAGCCTGCCTTTGCATAAAAGCTGCTGCTCACGATTCTTTTATTGCCAGTCAGTTAATTTAGTTGCCAGTTAGTTAATTTCGTTGCCAGTACATTTCAATTGCCAGTTACAGTGTGTTCACTGAGACCCGTGTGCATTTGCCTCCGAGAGAGACTGCGGCCCGCTACAAATTGGTGGCAGCGGTAAATTCCTTTTTGTTTCATACTATACATAACTTTGTTACTTTACACGTTCTCCGATCCGATGGCTCAACCGAATGTACCTGCTGTGGTACCCGTCGCTGCGCCCGCTGCAGCCCCAGCTCCGCCCGCTCCTGCCCAACCACCGAGAGGGGCGTACCATGTGCAGCCCGAAAAATACAAAGGTCGCCTGCAGGACAACTTCGCGTCCTGGCTGATGCATTTCGACCAGGTCGCCGCGGTAAACAACTGGAACAACGTTCAAGAGACGCAGTTCCTGGGCCTCGCACTGGAAGGCGAGGCCCAGCTGTATTACCAATCGCTCCCAGCGGCCACTAGGAACGGAGGCCGCCAACAGCTAGTCCAGGCGCTGCAAGCTCGGTTTGATCCAGCGCAGCGCGTTGACCTCCATCGCGCAACGTTTCAAGCTCGTCGCCAGGCAAAAGACGAACAACTGGGTACTTTCTGTGAGGCGGTTCGCTCCCTGGCCCGGCAAGCTTACCCCCAGATGGCCGCGGGGGACCTCGACAGCCTAACAAAAGACCAGTTTATCTCCGGGCTTGACTCACGGGGCATGCGGGTCCGCGTTCGGGAGCTAAACCCGCAAACGACAGACGGGGCCCTCCAGGCCGCGCTCCATCACCAGGCAATCCTAGCTGCCGAACTGCCCGCCGCGGAACCTGTGCCGATCCCTGCCTTTGCTGTTTCCCAGCCACTCGACACGGTGACAGACCAACTGAAAGCTGTGTTAGACCGTCTGGCTACGTTGGAGGCCAGTCTGCCAGGACCAATTCGGTCCCGACCTGACCAACTACCACAGCCCCCACAGACGCAAGGCCGCACACCTGTCACTTGCTGGTCATGTGGCCGACAGGGTCACATCAGCCGAGAATGCCGTGCCCGTCGTCCTGCGCAGGCGGGAAACTACCGGCGGCAGTACTAAGTACCTCGGACGCTAGCCCTGCCGCATCCTGCTCTTCCAGGACCTACGTAAGCACTGTGTTGATATGCCTTGCTGTCTTGCTCCTTGCCCACCCTGTTACGCTCACGATTTTAACTGTTTTGCTCACTGTGCTGTACCGCCACCGCCTCCCTGATGTACGTGCTTTTCTCCCCGACCTCTCCCCATTACACTTTTTTTCGTCGAGTTTGTCCCGACGCGACCATGCATGCCGCCTACCTGTAATACCCGTGACTGTGAACGCAGTCGATTCCAATGCTTTGTTAGACAGTGGGTCTTCCAAGTCAATTGTGAGCAAGAAGCTGTGGGATTCTCTGAGTAATCGCCCATCCCTGTCCCCTCCACCCCCCTCACGCATCCTTTCTGTGGATGGCTCGTCCGTAGCGATTTTAGGTCAAGCTGAGTTGCACATTTCTGTTTCGCCCACCACCCCGCCTGTCCTGCATGAGTTCTTAGTTGCCTCCATCCATCCCGAGGTCATTCTAGGGGTTGAATTTTTGCATGCCCAAGCGTGTTCGCTTGATTTCGCCACTTCCAACATGTCCATTGCTGGTCACGTTATTCCCCTGCATTCCCCCACTGTGATCCCGTCACCTGTCCGTGCCGCTTCGCTCTCCGCTACTCCCGTTTTATGCACGCTTCCCTCTGCTGTGACCGTCCCTGCCATGTCTCATTACATTTGCTCCGCAAAAGTTGCTTCCTGCCATTATTCTGATAGCCCCCTGCTGTTTGAGCCTTGTGAGTCTACCTGCAGTACTCACCACATTGTCGGCCTCGCTACTCTGGCTACCGTCACTGATAACATGGTGCCCGTCCGTCTGATCAACCCCAACGAGCACCCCATCACACTACCTGAGAACTGCCCGCTTGGCTCTCTGTCACCAGGCACCATCGACTCTTCTGCCACAAACCCTCCTGCTGATTACCCCACCGAGTACACGTCTGCTGCTGCTACCGCTCAGTCTGTCACTGCTATGTTCAACACCAGCGATCTGCCGCCTGATCAACAATCCCAGCTCCACGCTCTGTTAGAGGAGTTTTCCGACATCGTCTCAACCGGCCCATCTGACGTGGGTCGCACTCAAGTCATCACTCACGACATTCCTACTACCACGGACCAGCCTATTCGGATGCAGCCTCGCCGCCTGCCCGTGCACCGTCAAGCTGAGGTACGGGATCATATTGACCGACTCATTGACGATGGTATAGTGGAGCCTTCCGCGAGTCCATGGGCTGCTCCAATAGTCGTTGTACGCAAACCGGACGATAGTATCCGCCTCTGTGTCGATTACCGCAAACTCAACCAGCGCACTAAGCGTGATGCCTTCCCGTTACCCCGCGTCGACGATGCTATTGACGCCATGCAAGGCTGTACTTCTCGACACTAGATTTGGCATCCGGTTACTGGCAGGTAGAGCTCACTGAATCTGCCAAGGTAAAGTCTGCCTTTACCACTCCGTTCGGCTTATTTCAGTGGAATGTTATGCCTTTTGGATTGTGCAACGCACCTGGCACGTTTCAGCGCCTAATGTCTACAGTGCTTCGTGTCCTCATCCCAGCAATCTGCCTCGTATATCTAGACGATATCATTGTGTTCTCCAAGACGTTCCAAGAGCATCTCACCAACCTCCGCGCTGTGTTCCTGTGTCTCCGCAAAGCTGGTCTGAAGATCAAGCCATCGAAATGCAACCTACTACAACCATCTGTCGTCTACCTGGGCTTTCACTTCGCCCACGACGGCATTCGTCCTAACCCTGGTAAACTGGAATCCGTCCGCACCTGGCGTCAACCCACAAGTAAGACCGCAGTTAGGACATTTCTTGGCTTTGCGTCTTATTACCGCCGATTTATTCCAAAGTTTTCAATGCTTGCCCAGCCACTGCATGCCCTCACAGAATCCAAAGCCACATTTGCTTGGTCAGATGCTTCCTCTCAAGCGTTCAATACGCTAAAACATGCACTTCTTACCCGCCCAGTTCTTGCATACCCCATTCCGAATCACACGTTCATCCTCGACACAGATGCTAGTGACTTTGCTATGGGCGCTGTCCTCTCTCAGAAAGATTCAAATGGCGCAGAGCATGTTGTAGCTTACGCTAGTAAGAGCCTTTCACATAGCCAACGCCGCTATAGTGCTACTAGGAAGGAACTTCTAGCTGTTGTCACATTCTGTGAATATTTCCGTCACTATCTTGCTGGCGCACACTTCACACTACGCACTGATCACAAAGCTTTAGTCTGGCTGCACAACTTCACTGGCACAGATGGCTTGCTTGCTCGCTGGATTGAACGCTTGGCTATGTTTGATTACCGCATTGTCCATCGCCCTGGTAAGGCTCATGCTAATGCGGATGGTCTCTCTCGCAAACCTCCTTCACCGCCCGCCGACCCGGCTCTGACAAATGCTGCCATTAGTACTGATGCTTCGCTGCCTCCTACATCGCTAACGCGGGTCTGTGATGCCCAAATCCAGGATCCTGATGTCGCCGCAGCTATGACGTGGGTCCGGCAGTCTCAACGCCCTAATCGTCACAGCCCTGAACTGCAAGGTTCTAGCAGGTTCCGTCTCGCTCTCTACCATCAGTTCAGCCGCCTGATACTCGACAACGACATTCTGTACCGCAAGTATGAATCGGAAGATGGTAGTTCGCACTCACTGCAGCTGGTGGTTCCCCCGTCGCTCCAACGAGAAGTGCTCGCCTTACTTCACAGTCACATCACTGCTGGTCACATGGGTACCAATCGAACAACGTCCCAGGCCCGACCGCGCTTCTATTGGCCTGGTATGTCCGATGATATTGACCTGTTCATTCGCGCCTGTGAAGTTTGCCAGCGCCGCAAACCACCTGTCCCAACACCTCGGGCGCCAATGGTGACGTCGCAGCCATCCTTTCCTCTACAACGAGTCAGAATGGATATTATGGGCCCGCTTCCGGTGACACCTCGAGGAAACCGCTACATCCTCGTCGTTGGAGACTATTTCACGAAGTGGTACGAGGCGTTTCCACTCCCAGACATCCGGGCCGAGACAGTCGCCCGGTATTTCGTTGATGGCTTCGTCTGTCGCTATGGTGCACCGCATAGTCTGCACACTGACCAAGGTGCCCAGTTCGAGTCCAACCTGTTCAAGTCCATCTGTGCGATGCTGGATATTCACAAAACTCGAACGACGCCTTACCATCCCCAGAGTGACGGCCTCATCGAGCGGTTTAACAGAACACTGGAGCGCATCCTCGCCACAACCATCAATGATCACCAAGATTGGGACCTCTATCTGCAACGTGCTCTATTAGCTTACCGTATGAGCGTGAATGACACCACAT